CTTTGGTGATTATGCGGTTTGAGAGGAGTAATGTCCAATACAGGCATCTGATGTCTGATGGTGAAGATGGTGTACGGTGGTGTATGATGGTTGAAGTGTGTCAGATGGTTGTCAGATGGTGTATGATGGTGTATGATGGTCGAAGTGTGTCAGATGGTTGTCAGATGGTGTATGATGGTGTATGATGGTCGAAGTGTGTCAGATGGTTTTCAGATGGTGTATGATGGTGTATGGTGGTTATACAGGGAAGGGTTGTCAGATGGTGAAGATGGTACAGATGGTGTATGATGGTCGAGATGTGTCAGATGGTTGTCAGATGGTGTATGATGGTGTATGGTGGTTATACAGGGAAACGTTGTCAGATGGTGAAGATGGTACAGATGGTGTATGATGGTCGAAATGTGTCGGATGGTTATCAGATGGTGTATGATGGTGTATGATGGTCGAAATGTGTCAGATGGTTGTCAGATGGTGTATGATGGTCGAAGTGTGTCAGATGGTTATCAGATGGTGTATGATGGTGTAGGGTGGTTATACAGGGAAGGGTTGTCAGATGGTGAAGATGGTACAGATGGTGTATGATGGTCGAAGTATGTCAGATGGTTGTCAGATGGTGTTTGATGGTGTATGATGGTCGAAGTGTGTCAGATGTGTATGATGGTGTAGGGTGGTTATACAGCGAAGGGTTGTCAGATGGTGAAGATGGTACAGATGGTGTATGATGGTCGAAATATGTCAGATGGTTGTCAGATGGTGTATGATGGTGTATGATGGTCGAAGTGTGTCAGATGGTTGTCAGATGGTGTATGATGGTGTAGGGTGGTTATACAGGGAAGGGTTGTCAGATGGTAAAGATGGTACAGATGGTGTATGATGGTCGAAGTATGTCAGATGGTTGTCAGATGGTGTATGATGGTCGAAGTGTGTCAGATGGTTTTCAGATGGTGTATGATGGTGTAGGGTGGTTATACAGCGAAGGGTTGTCAGATGGTGAAGATGGTACAGATGGTGTATGATGGTCGCGGGGTGTCATTCGCTGTAGGATGCTTATATTAGATATTACATTGCTATATTTTATACTTACATACACTTTAGCCAACTATGGTATGTGTATAAAAAATATGTTATATCTAACATTGCGGTTCTCGTGTGGGACGTAATTCAAAGTATTTGGCAAAATATATATTTAAACACATTTGACAGACATGTTGGACGTAATAAATAAAAATATAATATGAATATATGATATTTCGATCACGTTGCGGTTCTCATGTGGGAAACGCAATTTAAAGTATTTGGCATATATTAAAACGCATTTGGCAGACATGTTGATGTTGGAGGTAATGAATAAAAATATAATATGAATATATGATATCTCACAATGCGGTTCTCATGTGGGAAAGGTAATTCAAAGTATTTGGCAAAATATATTTAAACGCATTTGACAGTCATACAGTTCGAGGTAACAACTAACAAATAAAAATATAATATGAATATATATGATATCTCACAATGCGGTTCTCATGTGGGAAACGTAATTCAAAGTATTGGGCAAAATATCACATTTGACAGAGATGTTCGAGGTAATAAAAATTGAATTTTGCTGTGACATATCGCGCAGCGTTGACAGAAAAGTCTTCATTGTAGGCTTTTATTTCTACAAGCAACAGTTTCTTACTGTAATAACACCAATTCGGTTGGATAGATTTACTGTATAGGGGCGTCATATTTGAACTCTATTGTATGTAAGGGAAATAGACGACTAGTGTATCGGGGAGAAATTTTGAGGCATCCAAGGGAGACATTTATCTCATAAATCAAAGAGTTGAAATTTGAGACGGCTTCCGTTTTTGTGTTCGGGTCATTAACTATGCTATATTGGTTTATACCTGCGGTTGAATGTCCAAAACTTCGTAAGTAGATTTACAGCCATGCCTTCGCTTACCGATAACAATCGTTTTGGCACTGTGAAGGACTGAAGGTAGCCGCGGATTGGGCCCCAGATTCGGCCTTAGATTGGACCTCACATTCAAATGTATTCAATTATTCAAAAGTAGATTATTTCAACCCCTTTTCTGGCTACTTTTAAGGTATTTTTTACTTTAAATTAGCAGTAACATGAGCAATGCAAACTCCTGCACCATATAGCTGAGTTTCGAAACAATTAGGGAAGCCGATTTTGTATAAACGCTTGCTGAATATAGATGTTAGCACAGTGTAATACTATTGTCTAACATTTAATATATAAACAAAAGAAATGAGTGTAATTCTATAAACAAATTAAAGCAATAAGCACCTTATTAATCCTTGCCGTTTTATGTATATTTTATTTATTTACTAGCTTTGTCATTAATGATTGGTGATCCCTACAGGGCTTATTGCCCCATTCTCGACAAAGGACGACACGATCGAGTGACATTTAACACAGCCAGTTTTAAACGATTGTGCTAAGATGAGATGGTACCCCAATTTCCTTCACTTCATTAGAAAGAGCATGAAATACTGCACAACATGTTGAGTTTCACAACAATTAAAAATACAGATCTTGCGGAATATAGATGTTCGCACAATGTAATTCTATAAACAAAAGCAATTACCACCTTATTAATCCTTGCCGTTTTGAAATTGGTGATTGTGCCCCAATTTGCGGTACATCATTGGAAAGAGCATGAAATAGCCTACTGCATAATTTTGGCGAATTTTGGTAACCGTTTTATCTACCGTTGCCGTGGCTTTGAAAGTAGTCTTACGCCCGTATTCTAAAAGCTCACTCACACTCAATGAGTGGAAGTTCAGTCTGAGCTTCTCTCGAGTGTCATTGCTGTTTTTGAATAGCTGGAGGGTTAGTGTCGTACCGTTACTATGTGACTATACTCACATTCCCGGCAGCTATTGAAAAACAGCGCTGACACTCAAGAGAAGCTCAGTAGGTTACTAGATTATTATGTCAGTAGGTTACTAGATTTTACATATAAAGAGTTCATTATTATTATTTTTGTATGATGTTAATCTGATAATCTTAGCGTTATTTGTAAATTTGACATTGTATGAGGAGTGGAATTCTATGGAACTTTTTTAGGTGGGAGAATACCTCGCACCTGCGAACAAGCTGGGTATGGGAGACCGATTTTTCACAAGTGTTATATTATTGACCATTATTATTTATTAAGTTCACAATGTCCACGATGCATGCATGCATACAGTGGTTTGAAAATTAAAATTATATAAAAAATATAAATGTATTTGCCAATGGTTTCAGGATGTTTTAAGGAAATTTAATATATCGATTTCATAAATGATTATATAATTGTAAAACACCAGTCACCAAAACTGAATCGAAAATGCATGGCTATATTTGGGAGCAATCCCAGTAAAACGATCTATTCTGTAACGAGTCCTCCGGTGACTCGAATCATAACTCGATGTGAATCCTCGTGGCTCTGGTTGCTAACTCAAAATAGTCGCTATTAGCACTGGCGGCTAAACATGTACAATCAATTAGTCAATGTCAATGGCACATTGTCCTTGCGGACAACGTTACTAAATGTATATACGAAAAACGTCTATACGTGGCCTATAGATGCTTTGTACAATTGAGCATAGAAGCCTTTACGCATCTATAGAGCCCTGTAATTGTCCTTGACGACGTAAATTACAAAATGGGCAGTTAAACTTATGACGGTTTGAAAACGAGTATAATATAGGCTATTGTATTGCTGTCTTTTCTGACAGTTCTTAACCTTTAAAGTAAATTAAAAAATGATGTAATTATACTCAATTGCGATAGTAAAATATATTCGTCTTTTTGCAGTGGCGCAACTCCTATGAGCTCTACCCGGTAAGAGCCGGGGGAACCCAGGCAATCTGGCTTCCAGGGGGGCACCCTGAACTGAGTTGTCCGGCGGCCTTGTTTATGCGTCCGACTATCAATGAGGAGTCCGACTGTCTACGGAAAAAAAATTTTGCAACGCCGCCACCTATTCTTCCTTCTCTATCTAATCGAATAATGGGATTATAACCAGTAATATGAAACCTATCACTATTAATGCCGTTATTAAGCCACGTTTCAGTCAATGCAAATATGTGGAAATTGTTTTCTTTAACAAGGATTGACAATTCATCAAATTTGTCTTCATTATTCAAGCTTCTGACAATGGCCAAATTTCAACATAGTAAAAGGTCCTGGCTCTAATTCGATATCATTAGCGAGTATATAAACAATAAACAACGTAATCAATAGAAAACCTACAATGAAAGCGCACCGATTGATAACCGAACGAAAAACCGAGATTACAATATTTAAACAATTAAAAAACCCGATCGCTGCTCTATACGCTTCAAGATTAACCGGCATTATAAACTAAAATAACATTTTTTCCATTTCTTACCTCCTGCCATAACGGACCTGCAGTCCTACTTAAACAAAAACACAACTGATTATACAACACAAACATAAATATCGAAGAAGAATAGTTAAACAAAAAGATTAAATAGCGCTGAGGGGCACTCAATGATGCGTCAAATATATGAAGGCAATAACAAAAAGAAAACATTAAATAAAATCACTTGAGTTCGTATTTTCCAAAATCTGAATGATGAGTAATTTGAAATTTTCTATCATCAGTTTGCCGTTTGACAAAAATCTTTCCATCAGTTGACCAAACAGTCGCCACGTTTAAGCAACCAGTACGAGCGGTAAAATATAACTTCTGGTTAACACTTGTCAAATCTTCGTTGATGAAATAGGGCGTGCCTTTTAAATTTTTCTTCGCTTTCATCACACATAGTTTAGACTTGTGTGATTTGAACCGAACAATTATTGCTCTTGGTTTTCCGTCCGTCCTAGGTCTACCAACTCGATGGCATCGATCAATTTGATCAACGGAGGAGCCTTCAACTTTCATTTCATTACGACATACATTATCGACCTTCGCTGAACAAATCTCACCATTCTCTTCTGGGCAACCATAAATTCGCACATTATAGCGACGTGAATACTGCTCATAATCGTTTGCTTTAAATGATAACCTAGTTATCTCATTCTCAAGATTAAGCACAAAATCTTCAAGTGCAATAACCGTATCGTTTAAGGGCTGGACCAAACGCTTCGTTTGTTCAAGTTCATTCTCTAGTTGTATAATCGATGATTTCAAACCCTTAACCTCGTCTTGTAAGGGCTGAACATGTTCTTCGATACACGCTTTCACTGCCTCAGTTACAGCATTCTGAATAATAGATCTGAAACTTCATTCAGATTTAAAAAACGAAGTAACTTCATCTTTAATGCTGCCCGAAACATCTTGCTCTAGATCTTTCGTCATCGAACATGTGACCGTACCTTGCTTCTCCCCCATCATGAAATAAGCTTTTAGGACTTTACAGCAGCCAACAAATTGCGTTTAGATATTGACATAGGCCCACAAAGACGCTAATACACTTCTTAGAGGTAATAGAACATTGTCACTCGTATTACCTATCGGATACCCTGCTGCCCTCTGTGCAGTGTACAGCCGGGCTGTTAGATTTGTATTATGTTTGATTTTAAAATCTTATTTGCTAATAATAAGTGATGAAAGCAGGGAAACTTGTAAAAGTTAGGTGGGCCGACTCCCACAAGGCGCCACCATGGTTGGCGCTGAGGCCTCCCCTCCTACGCCCCTGGATGAAAGCCACCGAATTGAAACATAGATCTATTTGACAGTTTTGAAATGTTTATTAATAAATGTGAGATAGAAAGTAAAGAGCTACTTGTTCTGGAAGATCTAAATTGTGACTGGAATAAGACGCCGTTGGACAGTCATACGCAAAACCCAGGGGCGGCGGAACCGGGGGGGGGGGGGCTAGGGTGGCTAAAGCCCCCCCCCAGAAGTAAAAATGGGGGCTTAGCCCCCCCCCCCCAGAAAATTTAGTTTTTTCTGGAAAAATTTTGATAATTAAGGAAAAATTTAGGTTATTGTTTGAAAATTTAGGTATAAGGGGAAAAATTTCCAATATTTTGTTTAAAAAATTTGTATTTCCGGAAAAAAAATTTGTTATTTGTCCGGAAAAAATTTTTTCATCCCTTTTCTCGTATATGTCCGGAAAAATTTTTGTCACGGAAAAAAATTTAGCCCCCCCCAGAATGAAATCTGTTCCGCCGCCGCTGGCAAAAACTAAAAAATATATGTGTGTTGTATCAACTTAGTCAAATTATTGATGAGCCAACGAGGGTGACTAAGTCTTCAGCAACACAGATTGACCTAATTCTGGCCAATAATCCCGAAAGCATCTCCAATCATGGAGTAATTGAAATTGGGATTTCAGATCATAGTTTGATTTATGCTGTTAAAAAACTAGTTCCTTTAAAAGGACAGAGAACATGTAGTGAAGTTCGAAATTTTAAAAACTTTAATGAAAGGTTATTTTTGCACGATTTGTCTAGGACCCCTGGGATTATGTCAATCAATTTAATAACCCGAATGACAGCTGGCAAGTCTGGAAGTCCTTCTTTATAGATCGTACTTGATAGACACGCGCCAATTCTGGGGAAGTATATTAAAACTAAAAGAATTCCATGGCCAAATGCCTCTGTTAAGCAACTAATGAGGCAAAGAGATTTTCATAAAATGATGTTTAAAAAATTCATTTCTGAGATGCATTGGGAAAAATTTAAACCATTAGAAATAAAATTAATGCTGAAAATAAAAATCTTAAAGCTAACTATTTCAATACTAAAATATCTGAGTGCCTTCAGCATAAGAACGTAAAAAAAGTTGGTCCTTGATTAATAACCTACTTGGGAAAAATGCAAAATCAACCATTATCAATGAAATTAAGACTGATAGTAATGTTATTCTTACAGATGAAACCAGATTGCAAACAAACAAATTAAATGATTATTTTGTTAATATTGGTCCATCGCTTGCACTCGGGGTGGAAGAAAATCACCATACCTCTGCTGTGACAAATCGTGGTGATTTAGAATGTAACGCAACTTTTTGTTTTTCTGATATAAGTGTTCATCAAGTTCTAAACAACTTAAAACAACTAGTAACATCCAAAGTTACTGGCGTAGACAAAATTCCAGCTAAGGTTCTTAGGCCCGGTTTAGACGCCGTGCTTTTCATGAGCCGAACTTAATACAATGAATTAAGCACATGAGAAGCACGGCGTCTAAATCAATTAAGCACTGCACAACAAGGGCAAATAATGTTAGCCAATCAGCGCGTTTGTTTACATTTTGCGTTCTTGACCAATCAGAATGCCTGAAATTCGAAAATATAAACAAAAGGAGTGAGAAAATAACACCTTGTTCTACGCCCAAGGTGACATTCGATATTAAACTTTTTACGCCAAAACTGACCAATTCTGATAAAGCATGCTTTCTTCTTTAATTTCCTCGGGGGGATTTTTTAAATTCGATCTAGAACGCGAAATATTTATGTTTGAATAACAGTGTTTCGACGCGCGTAAAATAGCAGACTCTCACTTGCACTATCTTTACACACACATAAAAAATTGGTAGATTTGGCAGTTTAAACTTATTTTCCTCACACCACAGCTGACATGTTTTTAAATATTACCTATCTGATCGTCATCGATCTCATTTCGCATCGGAAATGCGTCACAACGATCCAGGACTGACAGGTACAATATCGCATGACTCATTACTGTACATTAAAAGTACATATCCGGTTGGCAAAATGGCGATTGTCTGACTGACCTTCGCGAAGGGCTTAATATTTTTGCTAATGAACTGTTCGCGAGGGTTTCGTTCTGTTCGTCTTCTGGTTCGTCGTCAATCGTCATCGGCTGCCTCACTTTCTTGGTCGCTTTCGTCCTCTTCAAAGCAAGTCGCCGGGGCAATCAGCGTTAATATTTGCTGTCTTTCGAAGACCTTCCAAGAGCATAGGCAGCCCAGCAAAATGTGTAAAAATGCATTAAACGCTTAAAAATACGTATAAAGTTCGTCACAATTTGCTATCAAGCGATTTATTTGTGTAGCTCATTATACATGCAGATTCCGAT